AAAATAACATTGTACTTTCAGACTGACATATATCATTGCCAGAAAGCTTAGTGCAGGAACAATTTAATTTACATGTACATAATCAGCAAACTATTGCCTACATTTTTTAAACTGCGGGATACTGTCATTTTAAATTTAACAAACTAAGTTTCATGCTCTACCTATGCTAAAATTGTTTATTCTCATTTCCTATAATCCTATTCTCATTTCCTGCTAGATATATTTTCATTCCAAAATTGAATTGTACCTATATAATTTCCATAATGTGCATAATTGTATTTTAAATATAAAATTAATCATACATTTATATTGATCCAAAACCGATTATTCACATACTATTCAGTGAGTGCTCACGATCACGCGTGTTTTCGTAATATGATACTATGGCTAATGTATTTTAGATACATATTCTTTTCTGAAAATGGAGTGAGCCGTGTGAACATGGATGGTTCAAATCTAATCAGTTATAAATATACGGGTTTGTATTGGAGTATAGAATTAGCTGTAGATTTCGCTGCGAACCGGCTGTACTGGTGCGAACCACATCAAAACTTAATTTATCACTCAAATTTGGACTTGACGGATGTGATATCTATCGAATCGAGGTGGATAAATTCGCCACGGTTAATAGCCACACATAGAGGTATGGTTGTCGTTAATTTATTTTGTTTCGGTAGGGTCATGTTTAAACTTCTTTTAAATAAGACCTAGCCGTTCCTGCAAATGACAAATCTTTTAAAACTTTTTAAGTTAACTTAAACATTGTAACTATCCAGTTAATACTCACTTTCACTCATAATTATAAAATACTAAAAATCGTAATGCTAGAAAAAAATGTAGAGAACGATGAATGTAGTCAATTTGCACTTAACATTATATTTCAACAATTATCAATGAAGGGATGACAGTCATACTAACAAATTTAATGTTGTAAATAAAAATTGTTTTTCGGTTAACTAAATCCTAACCCCGTTGAATACAGCTTAGAAACACTGAATAAAGCAAATAAAAATACGTATTTAGCAGTTCTAATTCCGTATAAAGTAAGGTTTAATAATAGATCGAAGTTACCTAACATTCAATTTAAAAATAAGAACATTATCACTGTTTTATTGTTGGTTTCTTACACTTTTTTATTCATTAAACAAGCTATATGAGTAAATAGGTATGTTGAATAGTACAATTTACTGCTTAAATACCTCATAACTCAATTAAACGATAAAAATACTTAACACAAAAGTAGAAAACAGATATCATTTTCCCCATATGATTAATAATAGTATTTATATAATTATGTAATACTAATTGAGTTCATGAAGTCATAACACAATATCAAACTAGGTACAGCACATCAATTCACAGTATTCAAATGAAATTCTCACGCCCTTTAAATACAGTCCTGCATAGCTGCAGTGAAGCTGTTGCAGTTTGTGTTGAGGTTTCCCATTAATTTTATTATTTTCCTGCGTAGATTGGATGTACATCATCAATAATTCTGGGAGTAACTCTATAATTAAATTACACAAGCTGACCGGTGTTATAACCAACTTCAAGGTCCAAGACGATAACTTATCTAAGCTGTACAATCATGTCAATCACTGGGACAATAACGATTCTAAGGTGTACAACCTGAAGACTTACAGCGAATACAAACGGCGTATCTACAACATGCATCCGTGCTCGATGGCGGCTAACTACGGTGGTTGTCAGAAGTTGTGCTTCGCGGTGCCCTCCAACAAGTCAATCACTTCGTCGCTCCAGGCTCTGTGCAGCTGTCTGGTCGGCGAGAAGGTTGATTCGGACGGTAAGACGTGCGTGATCGAATCGAAAGCCGCGATCGATTCGAACGCCGTAATCGATTCGAATGTCGTGGTCGATTCGAAAGCCGTGGTCGATTCTAACGCCGTGATCGAGTCTGTATCGGGAGGCCCCTCAAGTAACATACCACATCGTCATGTAACTGCTGTGTGTTATGTGCTAGTATTCCTATCCCTATGTACTATTTAATCATAGATTAACTATAACAATTCTATCGTCTACTTATGACTTTTGCAAACTGTAGTAAAATAATTAAATTCAATATTGCATCTATTCTATTTATTATTAATGTGAGAGGAAAATGTATTAATTATGATAACTTAAATGTTTATCTATATAAATTATATGTATGTGAACTATGTTTATTTTAAAATGTAAGTGTTCCTTATTAGTTGGTATTATCATGTACGTAATGTGTCATCAACATAATACATTACATAATAAAATACTGTATACAATTTTTATTTGAAAAATTTGACATCCAGTCGAAAGTTGGTAAAAAATTAGAATACACTATATTAGTGTAACCGCTCTGACTTATTGTAGGTGCCGATATAGTGCACCTCATAATTGAGTAAGTCACTATAATGTATGTAATATTGGGTAATCAATCCATTGTGGTACAATTTTCAAATATAATTTGAATCATTTTAGCTTTTTGGAGCGTGCCAATATTTTTACTGCCGTAACTAGTTTTATTTCTATAATTGTCAAAAATGTGATAGGTACTAAGTCCATCACAAGTTGTAATTATAGTTGTTTATAACTATTAAAAATTATAAATTTACGAGACACGTTCTTTTTTAATTGTATAAATATTATGAAAATCATAAGATCCTAAATAGAAAATGCTACTATAAACATTTTTTGAACATTTAAAGACTAAATATTATAATATGGTAGATTGTCGTTTTTAAATAAATAAATTATGTATATAAAATAAATTATATTAAACTATGCGTATAATGCAAGCGTATATAAATTATACAACAACATTTTAATTACCAATTAGAACAAAAGTTATTTAATTTCTCAGGTCTATCTGTTACACCATAATTTATTAAATCAATAATAATCTTTATGTAGGTATACATATTATGTATCTTAGGGACGGGCAACCGAATCATATTACCATAATTTTTGTTGAGTTTCTTTGAAAAATAATTTAATTTTTTAACATTGAAGTTCCGGTAGAATTAAAACACTACTTATGTTATCATGTATATTTATATGCCGTATAACATATATTGCAAAAATTAACAGATAATAATATTATAATTATATTATATTATAATCACCAAAGTACGAAAAAATGTAAAGATGTAATGATTCATTATTTTATTTTTTTGTTTTATCTGTGTCACCATTTTGATCTATTTAGGCTCACTATTGTAATTTGTTTAAATCAATTATCATAAGCAGATATTTCAAATTGTTTTTTGCTATAATTATAGTATTCAATTTTTAAATGTATCTTTTGCATAGGTATTGAGTATATCAATCGAAAATGATTCCGCCTCTTATCAAAACTGATACGAAGCCGTGTGACGTAAGAATGTGCAGAACGTGTAGAACGTGACCTCTCACCGGAAGTTTATTATACTCATGATTATATACCACGAAATATATCTAGTAAAAAAACTCTATTATATGTTTGAAAATATGCAGCATAAAAGACTGAAATATGCATAGATTATGTGAAAATATGCACTAAAAAGAAGCAATGTGATATGTGGAAGAAGGTTCAAGGGATAATTTTCCAATAAATAAATTTGCGATATAACACCCACACGAATCTGTGGTCTCAAAATCGAATCTAGTTGTTTTTCCCAATTCCACCTCTAGTTTTTTCCAAAACATCACTGTAAAAGTCTAGAATGTAATTTGTCTGTATATTATAGTAGATTCGTCTGATATGTTTTGATTCGTGCACATTTTTTCAGAAAACCAAGAACTTTTCAGGATCTTTGGATTAGGTACCTACTAGGTTTTTCAAAGGAATGTTACTCGCATTTGAAGGCTTATTTAAATTATTTCTAAAATTATCCTTGTGTATCATACTGTTAATACGAGGAGTGCTCTTAAGATGAGTCTTTTGAATGAGACTGTACAGTAAACACAAAAAGAAATATGCATTTATTTTGTAAAAGCAATCGAGCGTGGCGCGTTTAAGCCACTGTCTTAGAATATAAGGTCAGGCAAGTTTCGATAGGAACACGTCATGCTTTATTACGGAAAAATCGGAGCGGGCGCAGTGCTGCGCTCTATTAGTATAATCATTTGTATAACATCATGAAAACTAATACTAGAAAAATAAATTAGTAATAGACAATTGTGAAATTCGAAGACCACATTAATTCCCGCATCTCTCTCTAGCTTATACAATTTATAATTCTAAACAAAATTTAAGTATAACTTGATAATTATCCACTAAGGAACACCAGTGATCAGTGCACCAAATATTGCGTTTGTATCTTTTTCAAAGTAATATTCAATATTAGGTAAGTATAACAAATTCACAATGCCAAAAGTATGTTTTGTTTGCAAAAAAAAAACAAAGAAGGTATTGCAAGTTTTGATTTTTTTAAGTAACTAAACAAAGATTTGAAAGCTGGAGTAAATGTATTGATGGGTTAAATGTAGGCCACAGAATTTGTGAAAACCATTTTTCCCCAAATGATATTACAGAAGTGAAACTTTTGAAAGACCACTTAGGAAATATCATTGCAGAAGTGCAAACGATTAAATGATATCTTATTGAAAACTAGATAAGATATATTAATACTATATGGCTGTAGAAACTCGTATGGTCAATTAGTTTGGTCGGATGTTTTTTTACAAATGTAATCGGTGTGTTAACGTGAAAACAATTATATGCCATTTACATCACGATCATAATGAAACATGCATACCTGTAGGCTATAGCTTGAAGGTAGCTGGTAGGAAAAGACAATAGGTAGGTACTAGGTACCTACTGAGTAGTGAGTAGTATTGTGTGAAATCAGCATAAGAGGTAGTCGGGAAGCTTAACGTCTAAAATAAATTTATTCAAGACTAAAACATAGTCATTTTTCTTTATTTTTAGAAATTGATAATTAATTATTAAAATCTAAAATAACTAGTATATTTTTATAAAATAATGACCCAAAATACGACCTAACCTAACCTAAGACTCTACAAACATCTAGACCAAAGTTTCTTACTTATACTTAGCTATCAACTTTTACGAACCCACCATGTCTCCTCCCTCTACATAAATTAATCTTCTAACCGCGTACGCAACCTTAAACATCTTACAGCACAAAATAATGGAAGAATGCAGAAATTCTGGTCAAATATAACCTTTTCCAACAAACTTAGAAATGTAAAACTTTATAGGTATTAAAAAACTAAAATACCCTCCTAACATTAAAAGAGGAGAGAAAGTAATCATTACTGGAGCTAAAATAGGCCACTCACATTTAACTCGTGCTTACCTCAACAGAAAAAAACCAGTACCTTCCAATATGTGATATTATATGCAATGAGACACTAACAATACACCACATTGTTGTCAACTGGAACAAATTCACTGAAGCCCTCAACAACCTCAACAACCCTCTCACACTTCACCAAGCACTCAACGAAGAGAACACGACCGCAGCCATTATATTTTCCTGACTATAAACTTAAGCCACAAATTATAATTCTCTAAAACATGTCAATATTTGTATTATTATATTTCGATTTAAAGTATATTAGCTTATATTTTCTTCTCTAATACTAAATTAATACAGGCTTAGACCCTTTGTTGTTAAAACTTTAATAAATTATTTAAAAAAAAAACCATGTATTCCTTACTCAGTAGACTCATATTTATATGAATTGAAAATTAAATATATTTCACTATATAACTTTATATCTATTACTATACATATTAACAATTTGTATTTATTGTTGCTTGGGATAGTATTTGTTAAAATATACAAACAGTATATTACAATTGATAGAATTCGGATGAACATTTTAGACGAAATGAAAACAAACGATAAAAGCTACGACAATGTCAATACAATATACAGCAGAGACTTTAAATGGCCAAAAAAAACTAAAAAAGTTAGTAGTCATTTTTAATTCTTAAAAAATCAAAATCAAAATTCTTATTAATTACTTCTATGAGGTAGGATAGTTATTGCCGTATTGGGTTGGTGTGGTGTATGTCAATTGTGAAATATTTCTTCATTAGAATAGGTAGTGTGAGTACTGAAGTAAATAATATTGTAGGTGCCAACTTACCTATACCTATTCTAGAAACGTATATCATAATTTTGCTAAATTAGGTATTATTGTATCAATATTTATATACATTAATTATTATTCCAATACATCATCGCTAATATTTTTTTTTAGAGAATGCATTGTATTTACAATGATGTGTGTTTTTTTTCTGTCTTTCATCAACATTTGGGTTAATAAAAATGCTCCGATTTTCAACATCAGCATTTTTTTTTTTATGGAAAAGTGAGTCTAGTTGGAACGTTTGAGAAGTCAAAATTAAAAATTCCTTATAGTTTATGAAAGCGTAGAAAAACAAAAAAAAAAATTTTAAAAAAATTGATTTGATTTTTTTGGTGTAACTCGACAAATAATGACAGCAGGCTCTTGAAAATTTCACCAAATATAAATATTACAGATTTTATTATATAGTGATAATTTTGAAATATTTTGACTTTTTTTCAGCTATTTATAGAACCTACATTCATCACTACACTCAAAAACTAAAAAAAAATCTATGATTTAAATACTTAAATATTCTTTTACCTCCTATATAATTATATTATAATTTATAACCTATTATTATTATTTATTTGTTTAGATACTTATTCTTACTTACGACTACAACCCAACCTAGTATTGAGTATTTGAGTTTCATAAATGATCGAATTATAGGCATTTATATATTTTATTGAAAAATGTTCCTAGGTACTTTTAATAGCTATTAGTGACTATTAGTAGTTTTGCATCAATAAATGTATAAATATTAAATTTAATATACCTTTAAATAATTATCATTATCATTTAATATTGTAAGTGGATTGTGGATAGGTGTCGACTGTTATAAGATTATCGGGAAATGTACTATACTTCTAGCTGACTAGCGGAGATATGAGTTTGTATTTCTAGTAAAATAATTTGTGAAATGTTGATAAACTTACAGTCTTCAAAACAATTGTTTCTTGTAAATAATTTATGGGTCTAGCTAATTTTTAATATTTTTAGGTAATAAAACATCAAGCTCCAATATGTATGCTTTGTAAACCTCAAGAAAAAAATGAATCTATAGTCACGGATGAGTATGAAAAAAAAGTTAAAGATTTCCAAGCACTATTTGATAGGTTTCCATACCTGAAAGACGTGTTATGTAAAATGAATATTGATGAAATAGATAATTTGGTAAAAGAAAAACAAAATACTACATACGATTCAGATTACAATAAGCCAAAAGAACACCGTGGTTACACTATTAATGGTGCAAAAGAAAACGGTGACGACGGTGAAGACAGCGATGACGATTGTGAACCACTCAAACGCAACGTAAGGATCAGATTGAAAGCACCTCATGTAGAAAGATTGGGTTTAAAATATTCAGGAATTTCGCCGCCGGAACCATACGTAGTTCCAATTTCTGAATATCGTTCTACAATACACTCATTAGGTACGAAAATAATAAAAGAACAATTAATGGTTCCGAAAACAACATAATTTGATAAAAATATATGAAAAACACGCTTATAAAATATAAGATAG